AAATGACTTGAAGGCATAAGACGCCACAACAATCCTAATTAACTTGACTATCTTATCAGCCAAAAGCAGACCCACACTTCCCATCGAAGTACTGGTAAGTTTATATTGGTTAAAATTGTTCTTCATTTTAAATATTGTATTATACTTTCATGGGGTTTTTTTGCACTACAAATAAGATATGTGCAGTATGCTTAGGAATTCATTCATTTTTTTCCAAACTATCGTTTGGCCTCCCAACAGTCTGGGTGACCAATCTGCCCTTGGCTTTAAGTTTTAGAATCCCAGGGTTAAACCAAAGGCACTTGGCACAACATTTTATTTGTGTGGTAGCCAATTAAAAATTCACAGGTTTGACTTGGGAAGATCTTCCTGCCCTTATTTATCCACAGTTAATATTCAGTGGCTTGCTTTCTCTGCCCCTGAAAATAATATACAGCCATGGTGGTTTGTAAGCATTGAAAACTTTATCCTCCATTAAGTTCCACACATCCAAGAATGCTTTGACCCATGTGTATAAATAGCACATTCAGATACAAAGTCTGAGAACTTCAAAAGAATTCTGGAATATGTCGTGAAGGATTTGCTATCTAAAAGAAGATCTCAATAACTGCCACTCATCTCGAGAAGTTATATGAATCTGACTTGTGCTCTGTCACATAATATGTGTGACTTCTTAGGGGTGACTTTTATGCAAGGGCATGCTATTAACATGCTGATTATGTCAAAGATATTTAAATATATTATTGGGAAATTCTGGAAGGGTGGAGTCCCATCAGCTGTTCCTGAGTTTGCCAGTCTGTGCTGGATGCTTTACACTGTAAAGAGGAGAAATGTGCATTTCTGTTCAAAACAACTTCTAGTCAAGGTTGAACTGTACGAAAAAAAACCAGGAGAGGAAAGAGACTTCTAATATACACTTACAACCGACATGTAGTTATAGAAAATGTCTTGCACAAAACAGTTGCAGTCCTGTTGTCGAAGACTTTCATGGCTGGAATTACTTGGTTTCTGTGAGATTTCTGGCCTGTATGGCCATGTTCCAGAAGCATTCTCTCCGGACATTTCATGCACATCTATGGCAGGCATCCTCAGAAGTTATGATGTCAATTGAAAACTAGGCAAGTGAGGTTTATATATCTGTGGAATGTCTAGGATGGGAGAAAGAACTCTTGTTCGCTTGAGGCTGGTGTGAATGTTGCAATTGACCATCTTGATTAGCATTGAAAATCCTTGTAGCTTCAAAGACTGAATGCTTCCTGCCTGGGGGAATCCTTTGTTAGGAAGTGTTAGGTGACCCTGATTGTTTCATATCTGGAATTCCCCTGGCTTTTTTTTAATGTTACTCTTTATTTACTGTCCTGATTTTAGAGTTAGAGAACATATGAGCTGCTTGCTTCTCTGAGTCTTGTTGCTGATTTTGTCTTATCCATTGGCCATCCATTCTTAATTATTCTTTCAAAGTGTGACATTTGACCTGACCTCCTGAATACTGAGCCTTTCTTTCTCACCATATGCTGACAAGAACAAGATCATATAACATCTCAGCCAGGAAAGAATGATATGTACAACAAAGTACATTAATTTTATTAAGTTGCACTAAAACAATGTGGAGACAATGCATTGCTTGCCATTAGAAACCTTAATTTTATGGGATGAATGGTAAGAGTCTAGGCCCTAGAGGAAACCCAATCGACTCTATGATGTTGCAAAACTTGTGCAATGTCAAGAGATAGCCCTTTTCATTTTAATAGGAATGACTCACTTATTGTAATTATCGAGGGAGGGTATTTTTTTTGTGAATAATTCTTTGGACCTATTGAAAATCATATTATTAAAAAGTAAAAACATAGAATGAGAAAAAAATGAAATCTTAAAAGCTAAACTTTCTTCCCACATCTTATTACTGCAGAAATTTCTGGATTTTGAAGTGCTAATTAGAAAATGATCCCATGTTTGCTTATGCAGCATTAAAAGTACAATTTGAGTGTTCTTAGGTTGGCTTGCTTAGCAGTTTCTCTTTCAATTGTTTGGATTTGAAGGCAGATACATAATTTAAGCATTCAAATGTGCTTCATTCACAATGCATGTACTTATTATTGCTTAATATTGCTTTGTGTCCTAAAATCTAACAGAACAGGGAGAATTTCATCACACATGTCCAGGCATCCTCAAACTGTGACCTTCCAGCTGTTTTGGCCTCCAACTCCCAGAAACCCTAGCTAGCTTATTCAATGGTCAGGGATTCTAGGAGCTAGAGGACCAATCATGGGTAGACCACAGTTTGAAGATGCCTGTACTAGTCAGTGATAATCAACTTCCCAGTCCTCCACCTTGTGCGACTATGAAGCAGAACAAACAACTCCATATCTGTATGCTTGCTCACAATGCCCTGCCTCACTCACAGAGGAAGAATTGTTTAAAGCTACAGACAAAGGTTTGAGGTCTGTTTGTGGGATGTGAAAGAGAGCTTTTTGTATTGTGGCACCCTCGTTGTAACCTCCTTTTTTCCCCTTGGGGACCCAGTTATTACCAATAGTGACATTCTAGAGCTAAGTAACACCATCCCTTTCTTTTAAAGCATTTAGAGAGAATTTCAACTATCTGTGTTCTGATTTAACTTGTCAAATATTTAATATTATGTTTAATCTATTAAATTATTATTATCTTCATTAGTTCTATCTAGACTTCTCTGTAACCCAGCATTTCTCAACCTGGGGGCCAAGACCCCTGGGGGAGTTGTGAGGGGTGTCAGAGGTCATGGAGATTCTGTGTGGGAAGTTTGGTCCAATTCTATCATTGGTGGGGTTCAGAATGCTCTTTGATTGTAGGTGAACTATAAATCCCAGCAACTACAACTCCCAAATGTCAAGGTCAATTTTCCCCAAACTCAGCCAGTATTCACATTTGGACATATTGAGTATTCGTGCCAAGTTTGGTCCAGATCCATCATTGTTTGAGTCCATTGTGCTCTCTAGATGTAGGTGAACTACAACACCTACATCTATTTTTCTGTTGGTCATGGGAGTTCCGTGTGCCAAGTGTGGTTCAATTCCATTGTTGTTGGAGTTCAGAATGCTCTTTGATTGTAGGTGAACTATAAATCCCAGCAACTACAACTTCCAAATGACAAAATCCATCACTCCCCCGACCCCACCACTATTCAAATTTGGGCGTGTCAGGTATTTGTGCCAAATTCGGTCCAGTGAATGAAAATACATTCTGCATATCAGATATTTACATTCATAAATATCTGATTCATAACAGTAGCAAAATTACAATTATGAAATAGCAATGAAAATATTTTTATGGTTGGGGGTCACCACAACATGAGGAACTGTATTATGGGGTTGCGGCATTAGGAAGGTTGAGAAATACTGCTGTAGCCAATTCATTCCAGTCTGGAATCATAGAGTTGGAAGAAACCCCTTTCGTATGTAATGTTGTCAAGCCAGCTGCCTCCCATCCTGCATTTCAAATAAAATACTGTAGAAGTTTAGATCACCTGCACTTAGCTAATGTTGCATTTACAAGCCTCACTTATCAATGGGTCTGCTCTGCTGGGACTAACAATTAAATGTAGTCCATAAATTCTATTTTTGATGTTGGTTCTTTTTTAATGAGTCTTCTTCTAAGCATGCATAGTATGTTCTAGGCTGTGGGCTGAAGCAGTCATATCTATTTTTCTTATTTAAACATCAGACAGGTGGCAGGAAGGAATGGAGTAACATTTTATTTCTTTCCCACCCACTATGATCTTTACCACCTCCATTGCTTCTATTTGAAGAACAAGAATTAGGCCCTGAGAAGCATATTTGCTTTATCTAAGCTTTATTAATTGTTTTGTAATCTCTTAGGGCATGGTAACTTAGCCTGTGTTGTATCTGACCAAAAAAGGGGAATAGCTTGAGGTCTATAAGGTATGCAGGACTATTCAAGACTTTTTGCTTCCTGAGGCAAAAGGCAAGAAGACGCTGCATCCCTTTATTTCTTGCACCAAAACTATCCAGACTGGTAGCCAAGTTTTATCTTAATATTGCTGATGAGAAAAGATACTCCACCACATTATCCAATTTAGACAAAGAACACAACAAGTTGTGTAGCCCATGCAGCTTCAGCCTTTAAGAGTTGGGGAGAATCAAGAGAACACGCTGGTGTACCCCCTTCCCATGTGTTTCTGCCTAAAGTGGTGCATGTATACATGCAAGTTTGAGAGGCTTCATTTCTCCAAAATTGCAGTGAGAAGCAATTTCCATTTTCTAAAATAATTTTTGTTTTGTTTTGCTGAAATATGGTATGGGTGGGGCACACTTTATTTCAGATGAGAACTCAATCCCATGGGCTGCAATTGTCTGGAGGAAGAGAGAGAAAAAGAAGAGGAAAACAAGGGAATTAGTATTTTTGTGAATTTGTTTTGCTTAGGGCTTTGTGTGGCCCAGAGACTATATGATTCCTATCCATGATTCTAATCTCAGGCTTAGGAAAGGTCAAGCTCTGTCAGACTCCTACTCTGAAATTAATAGATAAAGCCTGCTCACAGTTTATGAGATACTTAGTGTAATACATTATTGAAAAGACTGAGCCATTTTAGATCTCCCGCCAGCCATCAAATTTAAGATACTACTTTGCATCTTCTCAGTGTGAAGATAATGTCTACTGTAATAGAGTTAAGAATGTCAGATGATGACCAGGGACTTCTAAGTTCAACTAGAAATCTGTCTTAAAGGGAAGTGGTTGTGTTTGCATAGTACTATGAACATATGGCATTTGCTGTATAAATTTTCATATGTGTTCATTTCTGAATGATTATATATTACATATTTCATGAGTGTCAACCATAGTAAGGGTTCCTTCATATAAGGCTTTGTCAGGTTATGTCTGAATTGTGTCATTATCACATCCGAGTGTGAATCATTCATTATTGAAATTGAATTATTTGGTATTTACTATGAGCTGTGCTTTGTGATAACCTTTTTTTAAAAAAAAATGCTCTGTTCTTGTAGATCAGACGTACTGTGATCGTTTACAGCAAGACACATTTTTTCTAACAAGCAACAACAGACTGAGTGAACAGCTGGTTGACAAAATCATCCTTCAGCTAAACAGAGTTTACCCCCAAATTCTCACTAATAAAGAAGCTGAAAAGGTAGTTAAAAGAATGAACCCTTATCCATGGTATCTCTTACCCATGCCTTGTGGTGGTGGTGGGGGGATGGTTTCTATATGAATTTGGTGAGATACCTCTCAAATGTAGCTCTATGGTATGCTGGGTCTGGAAGGGAGATAATTTAATGGTGTTTGGTCATATCCACGGTTTTATGTTCTAGAATTAAAGGGATTTGCAATCTGGCAACATCTGGACTACATCTTCCCCTTCCCTAGAGTATTGAGTTTAAAGTCTGAATACACATATATCCACACTATGATCGCCATATCCATGGGAGATATCACCTGGAATTATCATGGAAATGTGAACCCACTTATTGATATGTGTGACTTCCAGTGGAAGGATATCTAAGAATTACACTGAATGACCGAGACAACATCCATAAAGAAAACTTATCCAGCATTTCTATGTCATTTAGTACAACTGTGTTAAAATCATAGAGTTGAAAGAGACCTCATGGGCCATCCAGTCCAACCCCCTGCCAAGAAGCAGGAAAATTGCATTCAAAGCACCGCCAACAGATGGTCATCCAGCCTCTGTTTAAAAACCTCCAAAGAAGGAACCTCAACCATACTCCAGAGCAGAGAGTTCCACTGCTGAAAAGATCTCACTGTCAGGAAGTTCTTCCTAATGTTCAGGTAGAATCTCCTTTCTTGTAATTTGAAGCCATTGTTCCGCGTCCTAGTCTCCAGGGCAGTAGAAAAAAAACTTGCTCCCTCCTCCCTATGACTTCCTCTCACATATTTATACATGGCTATAATGTCTCCTTTCAGCCTTCTCTTCTTCAGGCTAAACATGCCCAGCTCTTTAAGCTGCTCCTCATAAGGACTTGTTCTTCAGACCCTTGATCATTTTAGTCGCCCTCCTCTGGACACATTCCAGATTGTCAATATCTCTCTTCAAATGTGGTGCCCAGAACTGGACACAATATTCCAGGTGTGGTCTAACCAAGGCAGAATAGAGGGGTAGCATGACTACCCTGGATCTAGACACTAGACTACTATTTATGAAGACCAAAATCTCATTGGCTTTTTAGCTGCTGCATGACATTGTTGGCTCATGTTTAACTTGTTGTCCATGAGGACTACAAGATCTTTTTCACACATACTGCTATCGAGCCAGACGTCCCCCATTCTGTATCTTTGCATTTCATTTTTTCTAGAAACTTCCCTGGATGTAGACACTAGATCAACATGTGGCTGATTTTTGCTGGATGACATACAAAATACCTAGAAAGAACTTTTTTTTTTAGAAGATATGACTGAAACAATAATCCTCAGTGTATTGTCGAAGGCAACCTAATAATGCGCAGTAGTACAGTCTACCTTATTCCTATTGATTTTCATCTTACTAAGGTAAAAAGCGGAAGGAAAAGAAGAAGACTGCATTACAGATGAATATACTCAATCAAGGAAGCCATGGCCCTGAGTCTGCAAGACCTAATGATAGGGGGACATGCATGTCTCTTATTCGTAGGGTCACCATGAGTCAAAGTCAACTGGATGGCAGTTAATAACAACAACAATAAAGTGAAACTGTGGGTATTGATTCCATGGATATGGAGGTCATACTGTATGTAATTTATTAATTCATGCTTTTAAGCACTGAACACTGCTGCTTGTTTTTTCTGAAGTTTGTATACTGATGTCTATTAGGCATTGGAAAATCTCTTTTTAATTCTCCTTTGGCAACAACTTCCTGTCATGTTGTACAGACATTCAAAAAACTACAAAGTTAACTTTATACTCTTTTTTTTTTACATGCCATAGAAATGAGACAAAACTTGCCTTAACGTCATGCTTGCCACAGTGAACGTTGTCCCTTTCGTTCTCCCTAATCAGAGCCTTTCTCTTTTGTAGTTCCGAAATCCCAAAGCTTCCCTTCACAGCCGGTTGTCAAACCTTATAGCCCACTTGCAGAAGAAAGGTGACAAACCGTGTCAAGAATTCTACCGTGCTTTGCAGATCAATGCTGAACAACTGTATAATAACTTGCCAAGCAGGAAAATTCTAAGTAAGTTGGAGTGTTGACAGCTTTTCCCCATCATTCTGTTAGAGAGCAGACTCTTCCTATGCTGTGACTTGCCTCCTTTCTGGAACGAAATGAAACTTCCTGTGTGCTCTTTCTTGGAAACACCCAAAGAAGGATCTGACAACCCAATGTTTATTAGTATCTGTTGCAGCTGTATTTGCACACCAATAGGGTGCTATTGAAATCTTGTAGCTTTTGGTTTTCAAACAAATATTTAGGCTCATTTTATGAGTAACAAAAGATGGATTTAGGATTAAGATGGTGGATTTGCCCAGGAGAAGATATGCCTGTCTTTTAGCGTTCCTTGTTCTTTGAGTTCTTGCTGTATGTCTCCAACAGAATCAATATCAAAGACTATTTAGAATCTATATGTTCTCTGAAATGATTACAGAGTCAAGTACTGCAGCTAATTTCCTTTCTATGAGGAAGGATATCATGTATTTTCATGGTTCAGATTTCTGTCTCTTTTAATATTTCTCACAAAGACAAATGTAGTGTTCATTCACATATGTGTATGTGAAAGGTTTATTATTGACATTTGATTTCCAGCTGCAACTAGTTCTCCATCTCTGACTGCAGTTATATTTAAATACACAACTCACATTTCCAAACTGTTTAATGTTTTTAGGAAAATCTGGAGAAGTGGTTATGGGCAAGAGTATTTTTAGATACTTTGGACTACAGTTCCCAATATCTGTGGCCATTGGCCATGCTGCCTGGGTTTATATGAGTGATAGACGTATAAGCTGTACACTGCCCATCCCTGCTGTAGTTATTTGAGATCCAGTAATTTATCGGCTGTTAATCACACATCCTGCCATAGAGGAACATTGGGGCAATCTTGAAAGTGGTCTAGATTATTTCCATGTATAGAGGAGACAAATGGATGAAGAGCATCATAATACTCTTATTGGCAGAAGCCCAGAAGGGCTTTGGAAGTGTCAGAGGGCTTAGACTTTAGAGCACTCTAATGTCTTGAAGAGATTGCACTGTCAGTCCCCTGAAGGTCTTAGATCAATTGTGATGTTCAATTAAATACTAATGCCTCAAGGCATAGCTGCAAGGGGGTTATATGACAATTTTCTGTCTTTAGTCCTCTGAGGATCATAGAGATTGTCTTAAATACCAACCCCTCCTCACAGAACACCTCCCTAAACAAAATTAGGAATGACCAGAAGTTCACATCTGTTTTTGAAAAACATGGTTTTAAAAAATGTTTAATGCTGGAGGAGACTATGGGGCCTAAGTAAAAGGTGGATAGTATTCCCTGGAAGTTTGCCCTTCCTTTTTAATAACATAATAATAATACTTTATTTATAACCTGCCCTCTCTCCCCGAAGGGATTCAATTTTTGCCAGAAAAATTGTGGTCTAGGGATATTGGGAAGTGCAAAATCAACTTTAGGAATATATGGCCCCTTCCACACAGGTGAATTAAATCCCACATTATCTGCTCTGAACTGGAATATATTGCAGTGTGGACTCAGATAACCCAGTTCAAAGCAGATATTGTGGGATTTTCTGCCTTGATATTCTGGGTTATATGGCTGTGTGGAAGGGCCCTGCATCAGTTCCAAAGCCATACTTTGTCCATATTGAATATAACTGCCTGCCTGCTTGCCTACCCACCAACCTATCCAGTCATCTATGGTATCAGTTCATCTTGCCTTTCTCTCAGCATCTGCTTACAACAAAGACTAAAACAAGATAAAGTAATTGAACGAGGTAGTTCATTTTATACATTTTGAAATGTATAAAATTATTTAAAAACAGTGGAAAGAAATACAGTCCATCTTCCATATTAACATCCATCTGCACAAGCAATTAATCATCAAATTCTTGTTCAAATAGAAAGGTATTTACCTGCCACCTTAAAGAGCAGAGAAGGGGCCAGCCAGTACCTCCCATGGGAGGGAATTTCTCCCCCATGTCTTCACCAGATGGGTCTGTGAAAGTGGGACGCTTAAATCCCCAATGATTTAAGCTTACATCCAAATGAAACTGATTTGTACTATCCAGTTGCTGTGTGTAACTCCTTTATATCCATTTGCTAGGATATAGTAGTAACCAATGTAATAAGATATGCAGATGATACCACTTTGATGGCTGAAAGCGAGGAGGAGCTGAGGAGCCTTATAACCAAGGTGAAAGGAGGAAGTCCAAAAGCTGAGTTGCAGTTAAACATCAAAAAACAAAGATTATGGCAAACTGACTGATTGATAACTGGCAAATAGAGGGGGGGAAACATGGAGGCAGTGACAGACTTTATATTTCTAGGTGCAAAAATTACTGCAGATGCAGACTGCAGCCAGGAAATCAGAAGACGTTTACTTCTTGGGAGGAGAGAAATCTCAATGAAATAGTGAAGAGTAGAGACATCACACTGGCAGCGAGGATCCACATAGTTAAAGTAATGGTATTCCCTATAGTAACGTATGGATGCGAGAGCTGAACCGTAAGGAAGGCTGAGTGAAAGAAGATAGATACTTTTGAACTGTGGTGTTGGAGGAAAATCCGAGAGTGCCTTGGACTGCAAGAAGATCCAACCAGTCCATACTCCAGGAAATAAAGCCTAACTGCTCAGTGGAGGGAAGGATATTAGAGGCAAAGATGAAGTACTTTGGCCACATAATGGGAAGACAGGGAAGCTTGGAGAAGAGAATGATGCTGGGGAAAATGGAAGGGAAGAGGAAGTGAGATCGACCAAGGATAAGATGGATGGATGTTATCCTTGAAGTGACTAGTTTTACGTTGAAGGAGCTGGGGGTGGCAGCAACAGACAGGGAGCTCTGGCGTGGGTTGGTCCTTGAGGTCACAAAGAGTCGAAAGCAAAAGAATGAATAAACAACAAAAAATGTAACTAATATAATGTCTAAGGCTGAAAGAAATGCCATTTTCATTGACCTAATAGAGGTCTAGGGGAAATGGTCCAGTATAGATGAAATGCCCAAAACTTATGACCATACTTAATGGGGATATATAGGCAGTGGCAGCACATAGTCATCTCTGATTTTGCATTTGAATTGATTCCACTTCCCTAGACAGCTTTGAGCATAGTTTTGGGTTGTGGTGGCCAATGTGTTCCCTCCTAATGAGAGTTCACAAGCTCTGTTCTTTCTTGAAGAAGCAATTTTAGAACATGTCAATAGTAGGGCTGGGCGGTTTCGTTTCGTTAATTCGTAATTCGTTAATAATTCGTTAATTTTTTAATTACAAAATGATAACGAACCATTCTGGAGCAATTTTTAAAAAACGAATTTTTAAACACGTTTTGTAAATGCTTTGTATTTCGTTATTGTATTCGTTTCGTTATTGTTCTGAGGTCGTTTAGTTATTATTTCCGCATGTCTGGGGCAAGTTTTTTGTTTAATTAGTGAAAAAAAATTATAATATCACACCAACAGTCAACAACAGAGGGAGAGGGAAGCTTCAGAAGTTTTTGGAGGTTTTTTAGCGTATTTCGCGGTCGCGTCCGCCATTAACGAATCGATTCGTTATTGTTTCGGAAATCGATTCGTTATTGTTTTGTAATTTTTTTCACATTTACGAAATTTCGTAAATATCGAACTTTTTTAAAGGAAAATTTTGTAATTATTTTAAATAACGAAACGCAAAAACCCCCAAAAAATGAATCGATTTTAGAAACAAATTTTTCCGTTGTTACCCAGGCCTATTGAACACAATTAAAGACAAGGAAGGCATAAGGTTTGCAGCATCTGCAATTGTGGAGCTGTATCTGAAAGAAGGAATATTAGTATTCCTCGGGTTCTACCTTTCACAGTATGTTATTTCTCAGCATAGAAAGGAAAATCTTCTTTGATTTCAACGTAGTATTATTCTAATAAACACACTGCAGGTAGCAAAGATGAGTCATAGATGGACTATTCTCTCTCCTCTCCTCATAATGTGTGAGTATTTGGTTCTGGCAGTGTATTAGTCTCAATGTATATATTCTCTCACTTCTGTTGATTTGGTAAACACCCCCTTCTTCTGTGGTGACTGTGATAAAACTAAAATCAATAGATTTAGTTCCTGGCATATCATTTTAGCTGAAACAGCATGAAAGGCAGCAACATTAGGTAACTCTTCTGAACTCCTGGAAGAGCAAATAGATAGTTATTTTCCCCCAATTTCCACTCTTTTGTAGGTGCTAAGTTGAAGTAGTTAGTACTGTCTAGGAAACTCTGGGTACATCTACATTGTAGAATTAATGCAGTTTGACACCATTTTAACTCCCTTGGCTCAATATTTTGAAATCATGGGAGTTGTTATTTTACCAGGTGTTTAGTCTTCACTGCCAAGGAGTGCTGGTGCCTTACCAAACTACAAAACCCAAGATTCCATATCCTTAAAACATGAGAGTTAAAGCAATGTCAAAATGAATTAATTCGATAGTGTAGATCAGTGGTTCTCAACCTGGGGTCCCCAGATGTTTTTGGACTTCAACTCCCAGAAATCCTAACAGCTGGTAAACTGGCTGGGATTCCTGGGAGTTGGAGGCCAAAACACCTGGGGACCCACAGGTTGAGAACCACTGGTGTAGATATACCATGGGTAAGGAGGCTTATGATTTTTTTTTGTGTGTCAGGAGCGACTTGAGAAACTGCAAGTCGCTTCTGGTGTGAGAGAATTGGCCGCCTGCAAGGACGTTGCCCAGGGGACGCCCAGATGATTTGATGTTTTTATCATCGTTGTGCAAGGCTTCTCTCATGCCCCCGCTTGGAGAGCTGGAACTGACAGAGGGAGCTCATCCACCTCTCCCCGGATTCGAACCTGCGACCTTCAGTCCTGCCGGCACAGGGGTTTAACCCACTGCGCCATCGGGGGCTCCCGAGGCTTATGATAATCTTAGAGGATTGATCCTGCAGCATTTGAGAAAGGGTTTTTTTGTTTAAGACTACCTCTCCCAGAATCCCTTAACTAGCATTTTGGAGTTGTAGCCTTCAAAAATTATTTTCCACATTGTTTCTTCTCCACTGAAATCTGCTGAATGTGTTTAGGAATAGCTTTTAATAATAATAATCTGCTCAATGTGTTTAGGATCTTGTTTTAATAACAGTTCTATCCTTTCTTTAAAAAATTCAAATTAACAGCAACCATGAGGCAGACAGCAAGAGAGTGTATGAGAGAGGCAGGCTTGTCTAGTGAATTGAGGGCGAATTTACTCATTATATGGTGGCAGATCCAGGTTTCTTTGGCTAAGGGTTGTTTAAGGAAGTTGCAGTAAGTCATGGATTTCGTATCATTGATATGTGTGCTTCCAAACATGCACTTGTCCCATTTATGGATTTACATTTTGAGATGTAGTCTTCAAGCAGAAAAACTTTAGGTGTTTATCTAAAAAATAAAATGTGTGAAGAGGTCTTCCTGAGTAGAGATGTCTCTGTTGTCAACCAGCCTTTAGAAACTCTGTTAGCACCCTTTGAATTCTTAGCCAACAATTCCTATGAACTCCTGGTCAGCATGGCTACAGTTAAGTATTGTGGAAGTTGTTGTAGTAAGCAAGCTTTCTTAAGAGTCAGAAAGAAAATTTGAAATTTCACTGCTGGAGGTCTTGACTATCATACTTGATACTGGCCTCTTCTTTATTAATGGTAGAGTAGGAAGCATGTAGCCCTTGAGACATTGTAGGATAGCACACCAGAGGGTTCCTTGCCTATGGCAATAAGAACTGCTGGGGCTTGCAGCCCAACAATATCTAGAGGACCACAAGATAGTCGCTATCCTCCAGTTGATCGAATTGGTGGTACTCTAGGATCTGCAACCTTGTAGATATTTGCTTAGAAGTAAGTTCCATTGAAATGCTTCCAAGTTGATATGCAAAAGAATGCACTATATCCACTTAACTAGGGAGACAGTTCCGTTGAATTTAATGAAACTGAGCAAAAATGTATAGAATTGGTTCCAGCTGCAGTACTTTTGAGACAAATTAGCCATCAGCTTTGACACTAGTGGTAATAAAATATCAGATTGCTTTATTTTAATATATTTCCATCTCTCATAGGAAAGCTTAGTACAAGAGTTGGCCATGTGTATAGGACAGAGGCCCCAGTTGAATTTACCATGGAATGGAGGATGTCAGCTAATTTTAATCTTTGAATCAATATATCATAAACCCAGTTTGTTAATGGATGATCACAGTTGATGGATGTATTCTGTGATGGCTTTTGTGCAGCTTCCTATGTTGCAGGAAGATCGAAGTACAAGCATATGTGATTTCAGAATCCTGCCTGCACACTTTCCACAACTTTAATTTCCCACCAACTTCTATAACTGAGTAGCAGTAGAAAGCTTCTGTTCTTTAGCCTTTATGAGAACACACAGATTAACAAATTGCATCTGTAGTTGTGGCTCAGCATGATTCAATATCAAGGCAAAAGGATCAGTCAGTTCCAGATACCTGGAGTTTTAAAGGAGCTCCTTTCTCAGTATGAGCGCTAAGCTTTTGGTTGTTTGTGCCACATAACTGCTTTATAGCTTTTGATTGTTTGTGTTATATATCTTGCACTGAGTGCATGCTGGGACAAATGATGGTCAGCCCTCCATGTTTGCTATGGTCTCCCACGAAAGTGGAAAAAAACATGAATAAAGACATTGCTATTTTTTTTAACCCAAGAACACCTCTCTAGGAATGTCTTGGTCTTCCAGCAAAATCTGTCATCAGCTTCCACTGAAATGACTATAGAAACATTCTGGAGGACCTAGAGGGGTGGTTCTCAACCTCTGAGACCCCAAGATGTTTTGGCCTTCAACTTCCAGAAATCCTAACAGCTGGTAAACTGGCTGGGATTTCTGGGAGTTGTAGGCCAAAAAACCTGGGGACCCATAGGTTGAGAACCACTGACTTAGATATTCTTAGAGAGGTGTTATCTCTAGAACTCTCTAGGTTCTCCAGTATGACTAAAGGAAGTAGAGTTACATTAGAGGATAACAGTTTTTCTCAAATCTGTGAATGATCAAATCTGCAAAAGTAAAAACTACAAATGTGGAGGGATGACTGCATTTGTTACATTGAAGTCCCAAGGTCCTGAAGACGGATGGGTTTCAAGGGCAATTTGCAGTTAGGAAAAGACAGGAGGGTTGGCTGTGCTTAACCCCTTCCTTGTTAGTATTCAAAGGGGTCTTGTAATACTTTTATGACTAAGAGAAAGAAATTGGTAGTATCAGCTTTCATAGACTTAAGTCTACTTCATCAGATGCAACCCTCTCTCCTTCTCCATCTCCCAACTACTTTTCTCCTTCCTACTATTCTAAAACCCAGGTTTACAAATATGGTACTCAAATCCTGTCTGGCAAAAATGGAGAAAATGTGATGTGAAAATGCAAGAGTACTATCTGAAGGGGAAACACCTGACTTTTGAGAAATGCTCAAAATGCTTTCAGACACAGTCATTTATATCTTCAGCATGTGTTGTGCATTGTCTCAGAGTACAAATGTTTAAGGTCTGCATATTTTGCATGTGTTTAAGAGTGGAAGGAAAACGGGCCTTTCTTTTCTCTTAGCTGAGTTAATCTTTGCCATGCTATGTAATATCATTCTCCAGTACTTCTATTCGCAGATGAAAAGTTTATTCAAAGGTGTGGAAAGGAGGGTTGGTTTTGGATCCATTTCCACTCGGTGTTCAGAAATGAGCATAGCTTGGTACCATTTGACTTTGGTGGGATGCAGCACTTCTGCTGTTAGATGCATACTGATGGGACTGCAGGTACAACAACACACTAAAAAGTCAATGGAAAATGCCTTAAGCTGCAAATTGGCTATAAAAATGAAGAAAAAAAAAATCAGAAGCTCTAGGAAGGCAATCATTCTTTTTTATGCAATGGCAACATCTGTAAAGAGAACCCTTTCAGAACAGATAATTAAATAGACTTTAGGCCTAGCCTGAAGTGAAAGCACATTTCTTCCCAATTCCCTGCAGTATCATTTTGATACATGAAGTTTCACAAAGTCAGTCGCTTTGGCCCCATGAATATTTCACCTTCACAGATCTGTTGCTTCAGCCGAGGGTAGCATTTCTTTCTCCATCCCAAGAAGTCTATATACTTTTGTGATTCCTTCTTACTTCTCTTCCTTATTTGAGCACTGGCATAATGTCTGGGAAGGATTGGTAGTCGTTTTATGTTTTATTGTGATAATGTTTTGAAAATTTGTGATTTCTTTCCTTCTGCTTTGCATGATTTGCTTTGAAAGTGTGTCCGCCTGAATACAATACTAACTTTTTGGTGTGTTGCTTTTGTTTCTAGAAACCTCAGATTCCACAGGGATAAACCCTGAGAAGGAGCAATATGTTCTAAATGACAGGGGTAAATAATATGTATCACATATTGTTGGTTACATCACTGCTTCCTCGTATGGTTAACAAGGAGTAGAATGCACGTAGTTATCATTTGTTTCCATGAAATCTATTTTAATGTACTTTGATTATTTAAAAAGTTATAGAAATGTAATTTCTGGATTGTTTGAACTAATTGCCAGATGTAATAAAATCTAAAATATTCTAGGAGTTAGAAGAACCAGGGTATAATCTGTCCATACAAGTACCACTGAAACAAATAAGTACTGTACAAGTACCTTACATGCTTGACTATAATTTTATCTCATGTAAAAGTCAAAAGCTGCTTTTAGGGACAAAATTAAGGATTTTGATCTGGCCCATTGATCATTCCATTAAGTGGAGAAAGTGCTAGCGCTGCCTTGGTGGTAGAGCAGCAATTAACTACACTAGCCTTCAAAAAAGCTCAAAGTGGCATCACAGTGAAGGAAACAGACTTCATTTGCTTTGAGTCTCCTTAAGAGAGACAAAGTGGGATCCAAATACTATGAATGAATAAATAAATAAATAATCCATAAATAAATGCTTACATTCCTTTAGTTTTTCCTGTGATGGACTAAGGCAGGGGTCCCCAAACCTTTTAAACAGGGGGCCAGGTCACAGTCCCTCAAAGTGTTGGAGGGCCGGATTATAATTTGAAAAAAAATGAATGATTTCCTATGCACACTGCACATATCTTATTTATAGTTCAAAAAACACTTAAAACAATACAATAATTAAAATGAACAATTTTAACAAATATAAATTTATTAGTATTTCAATGGGAATTATGGGCCTGCTTTTGGCTGATGAGATAGGATTGTTGTTGTTTTTGTTGTTGTGTGCTTTCAAGTTGTTTCAGACTTAGGTTGACCCTGAGAGAAAGCCGGGTAAATGACCTTGGAGGGCCATATCCAGCCCCCGGGCCATAGTTTAGGACCCCTGGACTAAGGTTTTGCCTTCTGGCAGTCTACTAAGAGAAGTTCCTTTTTTGAGAACAATTAAGGTAAATTACTTACACAGATTCAAAGAGAAGTTATCCCAATTTGGGAGGGATGGAGTTAATTTTCTGATTACAATTTCTAGACTTATACATGAATATATACAATATTGTTTTTTCACTGAAGCTTGATAGGAGCCCTGGGTGGTTAAATGAACTGCTGACTGAAAGGTCGGCGGTTTGAATTTGGGGAATGGGGTGAGCTCCCCTCTGTCAGCTCCAACTTCTCATGTATATGCACCCGTGGTTTCTAGAGGCATCATGTGGTTATCTTCGTAATGTTATAGTCAGATTTATTTGATATACCTTTTCCTATTTTATTTCTTGGAATGGATTTCCCCCTTGCAGTTTGCAAGAAATAAAGGCATTCATGGTCCATAATTGTAATGCAAAATAATTGCTCTGTGAAATAGTAATCATATACCACAGTACACGAAGCACAAAACAAATATAGTTATTGGAGCTACATTTGAATCAGTGTAGTCAGGCATGGTAACAAGGATTGCAGTCAGTGATCCATTAATTTGAATATGCAATGTTATTCTCTCTCTGCTGTTGTAATAAATAGCTGATTTCTCCTTTCTTCTCCAGGCCCTACATTTTTTCTCGCTTGCTTCAGCGTTGCTGCCGGGTTAGCATTTTTCATGTATTGCTGTAACCCAGGTAATATATTGAGGTTTTTTTTCCTTTTCAAATGCAGTTGGGCTTCTTTTTCTTGGCCTGAAACCTGTTTTGGAAGCATTCTAACATCAGGAAGAAGGAATGTCTCAGAAATATCTGAGATGTGGGGCCCCAATGACATATGTCACAATTCATGGCTACATATTTTTGGCAAGGCTGATAAAGTTCTTTATGCACCATCTGGAACCAGGAAATATTGCCTGGATCACTGTGGATTGCATCGACTAGTGTAACCCGCTGTTACACCAGCCTATGCTCTTCCTAATTCATTGCAGAAGAAAATATCTGCAGGGGAAAATAACAAGATAGAAGGAGGTATCCAGGTAGCTCCTTTTGCAACAAAGTTGGGAAAAAGAACTCTTTCACTCTCAGATCTCTTGTAAGAATGGGAACACAAGGGCTCTCTAGCAGAGAATTCCAAGTACCAAACTACATATCCCAGCATCCCATAAGACAGAGTTATGGCAGTTAAAAAGGTATCAGACTGCTATTGCTATATAGTGTGGATATAGTAAGTATGAACCTGTCTGTTTAGACATATAAGCCAATGTTTTCATATCATAGAACTCTCAGATACATTTGGGATGAGTATACAGATAAGTCTAATTCTAGGGTTTCATCAGTACATTTTTGATAGGAGGCAGAAGTGTATATAGCCAGCTTTCTGTATCCACAGATTCTGCCTCCAGAGATTGAGCCATTCATGGTTTGAATTTTTTTAAAAAAAGAAAAGAAATCCAAAAATAAACTTTGATTTGCCATTTTTATAAAGGGCATCATTTTACTACAGCATTATATATACTTGGACATGAGCATCTGTAGATTTTGGTAACCATAGGGGTTCCTGGGATTAAACAACAGCAGGTATTTATTTATTTATTTATTTACCACATTTGTATACAGCCTTTCTCAGCCAGAGGTATCAAGGTCCCACTGTATATGGTATGTTGTAAGGGTGCTTTCCTTGTCATTGTACAGCCTACTCCAACTTGATGCCCTCCAGATGTGTGGGAATACATTCTGTACTAACTTAGGGTCCTTCCAGACAGGATCTGAACCCAGGTTTTCTATTTATCCCAGAAATGTGGACTCATATAATCCAGTTTAAACCAGAAAACCTAGAATCAGGTTCTGGGATATAGGGCCTGTCTGGAAGGGCCCTCAGACAGTATCTCCAGCTGTTTACTGGATATCTGGGGATGGTAGGACTTAATGGCTGAGCAATTGTATTTTAGCATTGTAGGCACCAACTGCAATTGTCTAAAGGAGTCTATAAGGTACGTATCTACTCTTGAATTCCAGAAGCATAACTATAGTATCAGTTCAGAATATTTCTTATTTGGGCATTATCCTAATTTCTATTATTCTGCTGAAACATTGTGGCTCAAGAGATTCTCCTCCCCCCCCCCCCCATCATGTGCTTTGCAGTCCTTGTAATTTAGAAGTATTGATTTTTATATCTTGTGACCTGGTGATTATTTTGGCATGTTACAGCAGTGATTCATACTTCAGCAGTCTTGGGAATTATCTTCTTTCTTTCTTCATGGATTTGGTACTGCTGGAAACAAATTGTATTTTTCATTCAGACTAGGAGGATGAGACCCCTGGGAATTATACAAAATGTATTTTTTAGTATCTAAGAGTTTGGTCATCAGAATACTATCATTAACTGAAAAATAGGTAGAAGGGAGTGTTCGAATTTTTAAAATTAATTTACGACAAAATAATCTATTAGTCCATGTTAGCATTCTGAATCACAGCCCATTCCCTAATTAATTTACCAGGCATTGGCTAGAACAGCTTTCAACAATCTAGATCCCATTCACACTCTAGAATTATAGCATTATGATTGGCCATGTTTCCATTATCTTGAATCTTGGGACTGTCAGTTAGGGAGAGGTACTTTGACCAGAATTCTTGAGGATAAAACAATAGCAGTTAAAGTGGAGTAATAGTACTATAATCCTGTGGCATGAACAGGCCCCTCGTGTCCCTGATGCATTGCACAATTCCAGTCATTCTCTGCCATCATGTTATATGAGGATTATGGAAGTTAAAGTTCATCAGATCTGGAGAGCATCAGTTTAGAGAAGGTTGGAAAACTGGGTGAAACGTTGGGGTGAAATATGTGATGAAAGAAGACTCTCCTGTGATTGCTCATCTGACTCCAATGTTTCACTTACCCACTCTGTTTTTGATTTGTTTGTTTGTTTTCTCATTTTAGATTCAAAAATCTTGAAAGGAGCCAAAAAGGTATTGGGGTTTTCCCCAATCATCATAGGAAGACATGTTAGAAACATTTGCATGTTGTACATGGAAAACTCATCAAGCAAACAATAAGAAGAAACAGCTTATGTGGTCTACTGCCAAGGGTCCACAGCAAATGAAAGGCTACATTTCCAAATGATATGCTATTTTCTTATACCAAAGATATAATTCAGACTGCACTCTTATACGCACTGATCAGGGAGTAAGTCCATTAAAACAAATAGGCCTTAATGTCTGAGCAAAGATGCATAGGGTTGTGCTTTAAGTGGCTTTAGCAGTGTCCATATCCTGCTTTAAAGGGCTTTCCAAAGATCCACTATATGTGCCTTTTACTTGTGAGAATGGATTATTTTTATACAAACATATTTTAAATTATTGCTTTGATAACATGCAATTGTCTTTTTTAATGGAAACATTTGAAGAAGCCTTAAAAACTCAATCAGGGTTATTTGTTGTTGGCTTTGTGCTTGTGAGACACATACAGACACATATAGAGTGGTTTCTACTTCAGAATAGATTGTGTGGTTGCTTAGGTTTGCTCTGAATGTTGGGGCCCTCTTGTGAGGGGTCCTAAGGAAAGAAGAAAAGAGGTTTCCTGGATGTTCATCAAGGCAGTCATGGGCTCCACACAGGAAGCTCCCTGTAGCTCCCTGCTTGATGACAAACAGAAATATTCAATTTGTTACAAATGTAAACTCTGGCCCTATTTAAGCATTATAAAAATGTGGAAGAAACAATGGGTAGAGAGGAAGCATGCTAGGCTCACACCATTCTTATACATTCCATTGTCCTGAATGTGAGAATGGTGACTTCTCCTTTCTGTCGAGCCTTTCCAAGTTGATCAATATATTGTCAAAGGCTTTCATGGCCAGAATCACTGGGTTGTTATAGGTTATTTTGGGCTGTATGGCCATGTTCTAGAAGTATTCTCTCCTGACATTTCACTTGCATCTGTGGCAGGCAATCTCAGAGGTTGTGAGGATGCCTGCCACAGATGCAGGTGAAACGTCAGGAGAGAATGCCTCTAGAACATGTTCATTCAGCCTGAAAAACCTATAACAACCCACTTTCCAAGTTGGCTTGGAGCACTGAGATCTTAGTGTCCCAGGTTGCCTTTCCAATCAGTAAACCTATTCAGATTTGAGAATAATAGTAGCAGCAACAGACTAATATGTCCTTCTTCCCAAAAACAAATTTTCATGAGTCCACACTATAGCATTTATGTTACCTCTGATGGAAATATGTTCTGTAGACACCATGTTTGATCATCCATTTGGCTATGAAGGGAATTGCTCTGTATTTAAAAAGTAGCATGCTCTGGTTTAGGTAACAGGCTTTTTTCAAGCAACACTTGAAAGCTAAGAGCATCACTTGAAATGAAATGAGCCCAAAGCCTTATTAAGACATGGGCTGCATAGTTTTGCTTTTAGGCGTGAGTACTGTCTGTTCTTTCTGTTCTGTACACTCCAGGAATTCAGAGTGACATAAATAACTCACGCAAAAAAATCCAACAACCTGTCATACATATGTTTGCTAGTTTAGCTGGATAAGATTTCATACCATGCCAGTTTCTATGCAAGTTTTTAGGGACATCATCTTAATCTGTGAGAGGGAATTTATGAAGATGCAAATCTCTTCCTTGCTTAAAGTTAAACCGTGGGAAAGAGAGCCGTTTCTCTTAAGAGCGTAGGTTTTTGTGCCCCATGATGCTATTAAAAGAACACATTCCTTCCAAACTCTCACCATTATTAGAACCAAATGAACTTGTGCTTTTTGCTTGTATATTTTTTATGTATTGGGATAATTGTTATCACATCACTCATATAGAATTGGAAAGCTGGCTAACAGTTGTGGCCCTGGGCATGATATGAGGATAATAGTCCACCTTTTTCCTAAATGATAACTGCAATATTCCTTCTCAACTAATGGGCTCCATTCCAGAAGAGTAGCCATTCCACTCTGTTGCCCCAAAACAATTGTTGATCTTGAAGCAAATAAAGGGTGAACTAATATATTATGACAAAAGCTTTGGAAGGCTACAATGTCCTTTACACATTTCATGGGCTGTAATCCCTGTAAAATTGTGGAAACATTTGTTAGTCTTTAAGGAGACACAAAGGTTCTCGTTTTCTTTATCAACACAAAATGGCCAATTGAAAACCTTAGTCTTTGGAGCAATGGAAAGCAAGTTTGCTCCATCTCCGACATGATTATTTAAAGATGTCTATCACATCACCTTTCAATTTTCTCCAGATTAAATATCTCCCTATGTTGTTTCTGTTAGGGTTGAGTTCCAGAGCCCCCAATGGCACAATGGGTTAAACCCTTGTGTCAACCAACAGGTCAGCAGTTCGAATCTGGGGATAGTGGGTTGAACTCCCTCTGTCAGCTTCAGCTCCCTATGCGGGGACAGGAGAGAAGCCTCCCATCAGGATGGTAAAACATCAAACACATCCTGGTGTCCCCTGAGCATCATCCTTGCAGACGGCCAATTCTCTCACACCAGAAGTGACTTACAGTTTTTCAAGTCACTCTTGACACACACACACAAACAAACATCATGGGTGCCCTCCTCTGGACTTGCACTTGTTTAATTTCAATTTGTGTTTGTTTGTCAGAAAAAAAAATAATGCAAATGCACTTCCTAGACTCGCCTGAAAGTATGGCAATTAACACTATGTAATTTTGTTTTAAATTTGGCTGCACTGGCAGGGATTTGTTTTAATATGTGACATCTGTGTTGCTGTCTGTCTTGAACAGAAAGATGGCTTATAAGTCTTCTATCAAGGACCTTACACAGCAAGTATCTTCCTTCTAAGTGGATGACTAAAAAGAGCCTTCTTAAAAAGGTTGCAGGTTTGAATCTAGGGAGTGGCATGCACTCCCGCTGTTAGCCCCAGCTTCTGCCAACCTAGCAGTTTGAAAACATGCAAATGTGAGTAGATCAATAGGTATCACTCTGGCGGGAAAGTAACAGCACTCCATGCAGTCATGCTGGCCACATGACCTTGGAGGTGTCTACAGACAACGGTGGTTCTGTGGCTTAGAAATGGAGATGAGCGCCAACCCCCAGAATCTGACATGACTGGACTTAATGTCAGAAAAAACAAAAACAAATCCACATCTAGTATTAACATACTCAACCTGTATTTCCCATGACTACCACAAGATGGAGAGCAAGCACCACAATTTGCCTAGCTTTCCATAGGCATTTATGGCACCATTTATTTGGAGAATTTTTGCACTATTGCTCACAGCCTAGTTTTGCAGTTTTGGCCAATGACTGCTTGCTCTCAGTTGTCCATTGGGATAATTATTATATCTACAATGAGTAGGGCTAATGATATATCCTCTTGTTGAGTTGACATTTTGTTTTCTGCACTATTTAGTACAAGAGAGTTCTCACACCTGATCGTAAGTTTACCAAAATACTCTATAAAATGATATCTCAAATGAGTTACTAATTAATTTATTTGTGGAAGAATTTAGAGCAATCCACAACAAAGAATCCCATAAAGTAAGCATTAGATCTGTTGGCTGACCTGTTTCTTCAAAAGAGAAGGATAGTACGTCCATCTCATTTTTTCAAAGGGTAGTTTATTTTTGTTCCTCATGATTTTGCAACCTTTACACCTGAAAAATCTGCATAAAAATCCATGCATTTCCATGTGCCTTCCCCTGATTTTCACATTTTTGTACAGTTTTGTTTACAATTAGCTTCCTCTTGGAATGTTTTAAATAAATTCTGCAATAATAGATGCATTTTGCATGTTTCTGTGTCCATGAAAGTGCCTTTTTCTCTGTGTGTGTGCCTTCAAGTTATTTCAAGTGGACTCATTCATCATCTTATGATGACTTCATACATTTCCTAAGGTTTTCTTACATCAGAGGTTGGTTGTTGTTGTTGTCTTCCTCTGAAATATAACACACCCTATCTGATATTCAATGGCAGTTCCTTATCCAAGTACTAACCAGTCTTCATCTGCTGAGTATTCAAGATCAGTTGTGAACTGGTGTCTCCAAATATTGTTTATCCTTGAATTTCACTTTGTGGTTGTCTGCAATAAAATTATAGATGTGCCTGTTTCTTACTTAAGATGCTCTTACAGTCTTTATTGTTGATGACCATACTCCTGTTTTTGGCAAGTTTTGACTTTTTATTTTTTTAAAATGGCACATAAAAGTTCATATGTTTAATGCAGTGGTAGGCATTCACTGAGATTCATTTTGGCTCTTTCCAACTCACAGTGTGATTCATGTAACAACCAGAAGAGATGTGTCAAGCAACTAGAAGTCACTTTTGATCACTTTTCTACTTTTTCTACTTGGGAATGGAGAGAATTAAATAATCTTTTATAGCCAAAACCACTACCCAGGGACTATTTTAGCCTGGGAAAAGTATTACTTTGGGGCCTTAAAAATCAGATTTAAGGGAGCTGGGTGGCAAGGGCTATAAGGGTATCTCCTTCTTAAGTGTCCGCTGCAGCTCCCAGGCTGTGTTTGTGCACCTCAAAAAGTTCATGCAACATTTCTTAATAGAAATGGCTTTTGCGGGGTGTTATTTACGCACCACTCTGCTTCAGGGATTGTGTGAGGTTCTTGATAACACTGGATATGTCAGCCTATCAGTAGTATGCCTCAGGTGGAAAATTGGAGGATCATTTTGCTGCAAAACTTTGCCCTAGGATATCTTTGCTCAATGTGATACCCCCTAAATGTGTTGGCCTGCAATTATCATATCACCCAGCAAACTTGACTAGGGGATGTGGATGCTGTGAGTTATAGTCCTGCATACCTGTGGGGAGCAAAATGGAGAAAGATGCAGGTAAATTGGATGTTGAAAAAATAAGGGAACTTACAGGATGACCCCATTGTTCTAAATATGTTCAGTATATCATCATGGAACATATTTTAATTTACTCAGAGATGGTCTGCATCATTTGCGACATGGACTCAGGTTCTTGTTATTACAGTGAATCCCCAGGGCTTTGTCAATTACAAAGAGAAATTGTGATGATAAAGCAATTCATTTAGGGCCCCATCTACATGACCATATCATCTAGATTATCAAATCACATCTACTTTGAACTGTATTATTCAACACTGGCATATAATCCATTTCAAAGTAGATAAATCTGGAATTCATATGGCAGGGTAGAAGGGCCCTTGATCTCACCTTTCCTACAGAAATAGGACTCAACATCTTACAGCAATCAAAATAAATGCATATAAAACAGAAAAATCTTCCTGGAATGTAATTAAACTGTAAGATTAAACCCATTAAAATGTATAGAACACATGGCAAGAATAAAATATTTGGTCTATCAATTAAAATAGCCTTTTAGATTTCTCTTTGTGTGTATTGATATCCAAAAAATGTAAGGCATTTGATGTTCTGGAAATTTATTCTTTCTGGTGTGACATTCTTGTCAAGTACATGGCCAGTATGAATGAAAGAAAGGTGGGGGGATGGGGATGGGAATGGGACAGGACGGACTTTGTAATACATGCTGTAACGTAATGCACTTGTTATTCTAAATTTTATGTTAATTAATGTATATCATGTGTTAAAAATAAAGTATTTCAACCAAAATCTCATTGTTGGAAGAGGATTAGTGTTCTTTTTCTGTCTTACAGTTACATTCAGTTAAATAGACATTGGGGTCCTGAAAACACAACTATATTTGGTCTCTCACACACAGATATTTGTAAACACACACCCCTTTAGGACAGGATTTGGGATCCTTCACCCCTCAGATGTTCTTGGTTTGCCGTTCCCAGCATCACCACTATTAGCTGTGCAGTTCACTAACATCTGGAAGGCCTCATTATTACCATCCTTGCAAAAGGAAAAGATCTTAGGTACACACATAAACAAGTATGCAACAACAGGAAAAGAGCAACATGTGTAAACATAATGGGATGTGTGTGAATTGGGGTACCTACTAGGTGTGTGGGGTGGGGAGTCTGCATTTGTGAACTTGGGAACAAGTTCTGCACACGTACTTTAATACACACAGAAAGGTAAAAAAAATGCCTAAAATCTGCTATAGGCAGAAAGGTAATGGAAACACCTAGACCGAGGAAAAAGTGGGAAGTTAATGACTCTTAAAAAGTTATTTTGTTCTTTTCTTCTCTCCCAATAACAAGAGGTAGGAGATTTTAATAACATACTTACAGCTCCAAAGCAGAAGATGTTAAATGAAACTGTTCCTGAAACCAATTTCCCTGTGAAGAAAAGTCTCAGTGTGGTCAAAATGTTTGGGATCGAACTCTGAAATTAGTGGTGGATTGACCACAGAGAATAATAGTGACACAACACTGTTTTCCTTTTTTATTAATGGCATATTGGTACATTTAGGGAATGCCACATACACCAGACTTTTGAATAGAGAAATCAATAATGCAAAATACAGTGAACTTGAAAGTAAAGCAAACGAGAAGTGGTGATAGAATGCATCTTCACTCTCAACAAAAGTTGCAGCGTTTGAGATTTCTGTAGCTTCTTTATTGTCTGCATTGACTATATTGTCAGAATACTCAGGTTTTTGAATCACTTAAATATTTACAAAATCACTAGTAATCTGTGATTCAGGATGAAATGGCCACTTCTTACTGACTGAACAGGCGTAACTGAGGAAGAATCAAGCAACATTGTTGGCATTTTAGTAAACTCCATGTAAGGACTGTGATACATGAATTTGTGATAGATTGATGATGGAATAAAAGTAGGAAGATACATAAAAAGAGATTGGGAGTTTACTTTTAAAAATTTGAATGTTATATAACTGCTCCTTGGATAAAGTTATGTTGTGTGTGTGTGTGTTTAAAGTAACTTAGTGAAATGCATAAAACTTGAAAAGCAGCTCAGAATGCCTCTAAAATGCTCTGAAAAATAATATTCAAAAGAAACTTGAAAACATTATTTTCTACACCAAAAATATTATATTTCTTTTGTAAAGCCAGTTTGCTACCCTTCATTAATTCCAACAAAAACGCATTGCAAAGAACTAGTTTTGCTTCCAAGCTTGGATTAAGCTCACAGGAGAAAATTTGTAGTTGCTCACTGAGTATAGTGCAGATAGGGTTACCAAGTGGAAAAATAGGATATGGTTCTATCTCTCTAATGCAGTGGTTCTCAACCTGTGGGTCCCCAGGTGTTTTGGCCTACAACTCCCAGAAATCCCAGCCAGTTTACAAGCTGTTAGGATTCCTGGGAGTTGAAGGCCAAAACATCTGGGGATCCACAGATTGAGAACCACTGCTCTGTTTGAGTTGGGGAAAATAATCAGGTGTTGGTTAACTTTACTTGTCCTTTCAATACCTGCTGAAATATTCTCTTATACACAATCATTAAAGAAACATGTGCCCTGCTCTTTATTTTACCAGGCTACCTTTAAGTGTAGAATGGAAGAAAAGGGAGAAAGGGAAAGCAAACAACCTAAATCATGAAGAAGTGTTATCAGTTTGCTTCTTTTTCTTTAGTAATCATCAAGTGTAGGCATGAATGTCTGATCCCTATAGAAGCCACCCTGTCTTTGTCCATGTTCATCTTTAGTAACTTTGGGTTTGATTTGTGTCCCAAGTATTATTACTTAGTTGACTCAGGGCAATCCAACCCATGCCCTGTATGCAAAAGTCACATGTAAAACCAATGTGCAAATTTAGCTCTCTATCTCATGGGAAGGGCTGGCAAGAGAAAAAAAAAGCAATGTATATGAGAGGGAAGAGGTGAAGAAGCACTGGAGAACTGGGTCATCTCTTTCCATTCCTGTTCAGCCTTTTATCTGATTACGATAGAGTATTAAGATGGAGTAATGCTTCTTATGTATAAACACTGCAAGTCCAAACTCAAATAGTTGTGCATATGCAAGCAAAGCAAGCACTATTGTCCCTTGTTAAACTGTTGTGTAGATTCCCTTTCTAATAATAAGCCTCAGTTACAGTATAGATACATTCAATAAATTACTGAATGGTAAACAAAGATGCTTACAAACCCCATTGATTTAATGGGCCTACCTTAGTTGGGGACTTGCTATTAAATGTGCTGTAAAACTTTTCTGTGGTAAACTTTAAAAGCTTTTGATCTGCATTTCAGCACAAGCTACTAACAATGGATCTGATATCACTATTCCATATTTACAAGCAAAACCTGGGCTGGAACATTTGGTGAAAACAAATGTTATTTTCACAAGGGAAAATAAGGATAAGATGGCAAAAGCTATTTTAAAGGAAGAACAGATAAATGTGGGGCCCTTCTACACATACTCTAAAACACAGAAGAAACCAGGATAAAGGCGCAGGGGTTGGCTAAATTATATTTCACAAAAATGCTTGCTGATTCAAATTAACAGCTGAAAAACATGTTTAAAAGGTGTTTTTAAAACCCGATTTCAGCCAAAAAAAATGCACATATTCATATGTGATTT